GATGCGCTGAGAGAGAGTGTGTGTGTGTGTGTGTGTGTCAGCAGATGGACGCTACTCTTTACTGGGGCAGCCACTGCAGTACAGTCTGTGTCCTCCCATCATGCACAACCACAACCAGTCCTCCTACAGCTCCCATCAGGTACAGCTCTGTTTGAGTGTGAGTGTGAGTGTGTGTGTGTGTGTGTGTGTGAGTGTGAGTGTGAGTGTGTGTGTGAGAGAGTGAGTGAGTGTGTGTGTGTGTGTGTGTGAGAGTGTGTGCGAGTGTGTGTGTGTGTGTGTGTGAGAGTGTGTGCGAGTGTGTGTGTGTGTGTGTGTGAGAGTGTGTGCGAGTGTGTGTGTGTGTGTGTGTGTGTGTACAGGTATATATGGTTTATGAGGACACAAATGTGTATAATGACATGGGTTCTACAACGTAAACATGAGGACACTTCCTGTGTCCCCATAAAACAAAAGGCTTAAAAAACATACAAAACGATGTTTTATGAAATTAAAAAATTGCCAATAGTTTTCTGTGAGGGGTAGGTTTAGGTGTAGGGCGATAGAAAATACAGTTTGTACAGTATAAAAACCATTACGCCTATGGAGAATCCCCGTAAACCACCAAAACTAACGTGTGTGTGTTTGTGTGTGAGTGTGTGTGCGTGTTTGTCTTTGTGTGTGTGTGTGAGAGTGAGTGTGTGTGCATCAGTGGTGGTGAAGTTTCTCCAAAAAAGCTGTGTCTCGTGGTAGTTTTAGAGACCAATGCATTGATATTATTGACATCGGTCAATAATTGCCAAATAACAGAACCGTGTCAATTTCAAAATCTACCCAGTCTTGTCATGGATAGTGCGCGTTCAGATCTTTTTAGTGAATTTTGAGTTAATAGAGTCTTTATGCAAAAAAAGTGTTGATTTAAATTTTAAATAATTAGTTTACAGTATATTTGTAATCATTATATTGTAACAAATTTAAAATAAATTAAATTGTTTTCATTAAAATCATATTATCAGCAAAAAAATCTGAGTAAAAAGTTTAATTAATAATTTTCCCCCTAAATCTTGTTTATTTCTCGGTTTAAATTGGACTTTAAATCCCAGATTTTCTCCTTTTATGTATCAGCATAAACTTTTTAAAACGCACAGAACTCAGCTGAGCACTGCTCACTTTAACATGCATGCTTAAGAGTAAGAGTTTTAGCATATTCTTTCTTTTTTTCTTCATACTTTATTTTACGGTTTTCTTAAATCAACAATGCACACACACACACAAAAAAAGAAAAAAACGGGATGAGACTGAAAAAAAAAAAAAAAAAAGCTTCTTGACCAAGCATGTTTTTCACTAGGGCATTACTACAATTAGTTTTTTTGTCACTAAGGTTATAAATTCAAAATGCTTAATTTTCTTTTCTTTTTATAAAGTGTGATCTTCCATCAAAGCTCTACCTTTATTTTTGTGTTTCTCAGAGTCAGGGAGTGATGAAGCACGGAGCGCGGGGGAAAAGACAAACGCTCAAATCTGCCTCTACAGACCTCGGGACTACTGACGTGGGTAAGAGACCAAACCCGAGTCCTTCTGCTCATTTAAAGTCTGTGTGACATGAAGATGAACCCTGTTTTCCATAAAAATGTCCCTGTAGTTTGCATGATGCTTCATCAGTGCCTCTGAAATGGCTTTTCTGTGCTGCAGGAAACACATTTATATCTAATGGTATGAATATGGAATAATGGGTCATCTGGGTTATGTCATTCCAAAAAGGAAGTACAGTGTATTGCATTTTAAAATGCTCATAATCAGATTACGGTTACATGTTTATGGATTACATGATTGCAAATTATTCACACAATGGCAGTAGATGATTAATAATTTATCGATTCTCCCAAATTCTTCATTTTCCTCTTTAAAAATCATACTGTCGTAGCATTTAGCTTTGGTTAAAGGCAGGTAAACAAATGAAATATTTATATTTTTAGTGTTCAAGTATTAAAATAAATAATTTTTATTTTACTTTTTATGATTTATTTAATTATTAGCTTCTTATGAACTCACAAAACCACTATAGTTCTTACGTTAAGCCCAGTTTGGGAAACCCTGGTGTAATGTTCAATGCATTGTATGATCTTATTAAAAAAAATTGATTTTTTGCTTTTTTATATAAATATGGTATGTTTAAGTTTAAAACAAGTTGTATAAAAAGTAATCTAAAAAGTAGTTGGAATACATTACCTAAAATTGGTAACCTATATTACATTACTAACTACAGTTTTCATCATAATCCGTGATATAAAGTAATCAACCCTTTCATTTATCAGTGCAGTGCCCTCAGTAGACGTCAACGATTCGATTTCACGATGCATCGTGATTATATCAAATTTATTTTGTGCATTTTTATTAAATTATATAAGCAGGCTACTTTTTTAAAATAATTACAAATTAATAATAAATCAAAACAATTGTTAAGAACTTAACCAAATAAATAGCTTCAAAACATACAAGCAAATATAAAGTAATAAAGGGGGAAAAAGACAATTACAAGTGATAAATGATTTTCCCGCACTAAGCTTGGTTTTTCCAAAATGTGCCCTGATCTCGGATTTAAAAATAGTGGGTGCATTTTTTAATACTCGGGTGACAAGCGCGTATGCGAATAACGTCGATTATGGTCTATTACTGCATCGATGCAGAATCGTCAACGTCCGCAACGATTAATTTCAACACCCCTAATCAGCAGTGGTTTTAACTAGGGCTGCACGATTAATCGAAATCGAACCGAAATCGCGATTTGGCTTGATGCGATTATTGAATCACAAAGGCACGTTAAGCCCAGTTTGGGAAACCCTGGTGTAATGTTCAATGCATTGTATGATCTTATTAAAAAAAATTGATTTTTTGCTTTTTTATATAAATATGGTATGTTTAAGTTTAAAACAAGTTGTATAAAAAGTAATCTAAAAAGTAGTTGGAATACATTACCTAAAATTGGTAACCTATATTACATTACTAACTACAGTTTTCATCATAATCCGTGATATAAAGTAATCAACCCTTTCATTTATCAGTGCAGTGCCCTCAGTAGACGTCAACGATTCGATTTCACGATGCATCGTGATTATATCAAATTTATTTTGTGCATTTTTATTAAATTATATAAGCAGGCTACTTTTTTAAAATAATTACAAATTAATAATAAATCAAAACAATTGTTAAGAACTTAACCAAATGAATCGCAAAGGCTGCGATTTTTAACGAAATAAATATATGCACAGCGCCAGTAGTAAACGCTGTGAGTTTGAGTAGCTTATAACGTGCATCTGATTAAGCAACACACTCCAAGCATCCTCTCAAACTTAATGAGAAGCGTTTATAAACCTGTTGTTGAAAACATTATAACATGATTTTACTCCACAACATCAGACATTACATGTGTTTAGCACTCAGTAATGCGCACTCAGTCCTATTTTGGCCATAAATAGGAAAAATAATACTTCTCTCTAAAGAAATTTGAAGTAAGCATATGATAATCCATGTTTTTATCCAGTGTATAGAAGTGTACAGGAGTTTTTTTTTCTTTTCTTTCTTTTTTCTTTCCTCACAGTGGATGTATAAAAGGCTCATATTTCATATTAAAGACATGGACTCCGTTTTTGATTTTACATACATCCTGATAAAAATTAAGAAATTACTGTCAAAGATTTGTATCATAACTGTATCATATGATGTACAGTTATGTTAACAAGTATCACTGCAGTTTTATGTAAAATAAAATTGTTATTATCTTATCATTATTTTTTATCTAACTATTGTATTATTTTTTTTGTTAATTTGTTTTAAAATTCGCATTTAAATCGCAAATTGCAATTTTAACCAGAAAAATCACAATGAGATTTTTTTTCCCCCAAATCGTGCAGCCCTAGTTTTAACTACGATCTCTGCGTGTCTCCCTCTAGTGGTGAATCGGGTGCTGGAGGTCACAGACCTCCCCGAGGGCATTTCCCGTCCGGAGGCCGAGAAGCTCTTTAACCAGCTCTCGCTCTGCGGTGCCAAGATCCAGTGGCTGAAGGACTCTCAGTGTCCCCGGGGCCCCGGCGGCGGCGGAGGAGGACGTGGAGACGCCAGGGACCCCGCTAACCTCTACACCGTGGTGGCCGTGTTCCCCAACACCATGGCGGCCCAGAGCGCCTCCTTCAGACTCAACAACAGTGGGGGGAGTTTGTTCAAACTGCGCGCCACCAAAAAGAACTATGACTTGCGTGTGCTGGAGCGAGCGAGCTCGCAGTGAGTCGGGAGAGAGAGAGAGGAAGTCGAAGATGTCAAAGGGAAGAGATCATCCTGGAGTTCCTTAGGGATCTTTTTTATTGTTTGTATCATTACCAGAAGAGCACATATGACACAGAAGTGTGTTGCGTTGTACGTGTGTCGTATGACGCGCACACACACTCATAGACACAACCGGGCAAATTCATACAGGTGTGGAATGACATGAAGGTAAATAATGGCACACTTTTCATTTTTGGGCAAACTACCACTTTAAAGGGATAGTTTGCCCAAAAATTATTATCATGTCGTTCCAAACTTGACTTAATTTCTCCTCTGAAACATTAAAGAAACTATTTTGAAGAACGTTGGGAATCAAACAGTTTTGGTTTCCATTGACTTCCATTCTGTGGAGATACAATGGAAGTCAATGGGAACCGGAAATGTTTGTTTGCCAGTGTTCTTTATATCATGCTTCTGCAAAAGAAAGAAACATTTACCGATGTGGAACGACAAGAATGTGAGTAAATGACAGATTTTTCTTTCTTACTAAAGGGATAGTTTGCCCCAAAATTACATTTCTGTTCATTCATGTTGTTCCTAACCTGTAAGACTGTTCTTGTCTTCTGTGGAGCATGAAAGAAGATATTTTGAGGAATGTTGGGAATCAAACCGGTTCCCATTAACTTGCATTACAGTATATGGAAAGTCAATGTGAACCAAAACTGTTTGCCAGCCTTTTTCACATCATGCTGCTTTTGAAGAAAGAAATGCATATAGGTATGATGACAAATTATTTTGGGGGGTGAACTATCCCTTTAAAAGCATAGTTCAGATCTTGTCTTCATTTATTCACCTTCATGTCATTCCAAACCTGTTTGATGTTATTCAAGCGGAGCACAAATTGAGAGTTTTTAAAGATCGTTCTTTGAGAACGCTAGAAAATATATCGAGCACTGTAAAAATGACAAAAATGTCCATATGACCAAAAGTCAGCGGTGTTTGACGTCATATAGTCGAGATGCTGTTTTCCAGTCCACAAGACTTCCACAGAAGCCTCACATGGAATATAAACGCAGCTCATTTTAAGGTACTTTATTCTCATGTGTGGGGCTCGACACCTTTACATGAGCAAATAAAGCTCAGATGTTCTTCCAAAGCAGAAGAAATGAAATCGAGCAGGTTTGGAGCAACATGAACGGTCTCTCAACTCGCTCATGTTTTCTCCATCAGTCTCTCTTCCTCTGGCTCTCTCTCTCTCTCTCCTCATCCTCTCTCTCTCTCTCTCTCTCACGTTGTTCACTTTGGATTTCTTCCTCTTTCACTTTCTAGCGTTTCTTGCTTTCTGTTTTACCTTAACGCTGTTGTGGACTTCTGTATCGCGCTGTTTATTTTCTCTCTCTCTCTCTCTCTCGCAGATGAATCTTCTTTTCTCGGTTCAGTATATTTATATAAGTGATGTAAGGATTATAAGAAATAATCTATATATTCAGTGATTCTTTTCCCGTGGATAAGTTGAAGCTCCTTTGCTCCTCTTCTCGTTGTGTTTGCGTTTTTCCGTGGACAGCTGTGCAGAAAGTATCTGAGGTATTTAAAAGTGCACAATGATTGCGAATGTCTACTGTAAATTCCACTTAATCTGTTATTTTTGGTTTGTTTTTAAAAATATAAAAGATAACTCAGACTCCTGCTTGCTTACTTACTGTCTTAATTCATGTTTCTCATTTATAAAACGCACATACGATCAGATTTGACCCTAAATTCCATGAATTTCATCCTGTGTCAAAAGTGATGAAAAAAATCTGAATTATAAAGCTAAAAGCTGAAAATGTTGTGTCCACCCGTTAAAGAGCATGTGTACAAACTTTTGCACTCGTATATATACCAGTATCTAAAATATTCCAACGTTCTGTATTAAAATGTAAAGAGAAATGTGTCATGTATGGACAAATGTAACAATTTATGGAGTGTTTAGTGGTGAGTTAATGTAGTGATGGTGCTCTGCTGTCATTAAGTTGCAATAAAGCATGTCAACATATTCTGTTACACCAAATAATGATCTTTAAAATAGCATCATATGACCCCTTTAATACTTTACAATAAGGTTCATTAATTAATGCTAATTAATGCATTAACTAATATTAACTAATAATGAGCAATACATTTCTTACAGTGTGTCTTAATCTTTGTTAACGTTAATGAATAAAAGTAAAACTGTTCATTGTTAGTCCATGTTAGCTCAGGTCCATTAATTAATATTAACTGATAACTTTAGATTTTAATAATGAATTAGTAAATGTTTATGTTAACTAAAGTGTTACCAAATCTTCTCAGGCTATTGAGTAAAAGGCTGAAATAAATATAAATATTACATGAAAAACTGAAATAAATTATGTTTAACTTTAAATACTAAAATTATTAAACCTAAATAAAATAAAGATAAATAGAAATATTTAAAAAATCTATTAAAAAGTCAAAAGCACATAACGAAATTATTAAAACAAACTAAATGAAAGCTAAAAATATAAAAAGAAACTCATTCAGAACATTAATAAATACTGTTAATGTAACTGTTTTTGGCCTGGTTATTAAATTAATATGTTTTTGTTGTATTCAAACTTACCTGCTTTATTTGAAAAATGTCACCCTAATTGATTTTTTTATTTTTTTTTATTTTAAAGATCTATATGAAGAAAAAAAACTTCTTAAGCATGTTATGGTTTTGCAACAATTGTTTGGGGGTGAACTATCCCTTTAAAAGCATAGTTCAGATCTTGTCTTCATTTATTCACCTTCATGTCATTCCAAACCTGTTTGATGTTATTCAAGCGGAGCACAAATTGAGAGTTTTTAAAGATCGTTCTTTGAGAACGCTAGAAAATATATCGAGCACTGTAAAAATGACAAAAATGTCCATATGACCAAAAGTCAGCGGTGTTTGACGTCATATAGTCGAGATGCTGTTTTCCAGTCCACAAGACTTCCACAGAAGCCTCACATGGAATATAAACGCAGCTCATTTTAAGGTACTTTATTCTCATGTGTGGGGCTCGACACCTTTACATGAGCAAATAAAGCTCAGATGTTCTTCCAAAGCAGAAGAAATGAAATCGAGCAGGTTTGGAGCAACATGAACGGTCTCTCAACTCGCTCATGTTTTCTCCATCAGTCTCTCTTCCTCTGGCTCTCTCTCTCTCTCTCCTCATCCTCTCTCTCTCTCTCTCTCTCACGTTGTTCACTTTGGATTTCTTCCTCTTTCACTTTCTAGCGTTTCTTGCTTTCTGTTTTACCTTAACGCTGTTGTGGACTTCTGTATCGCGCTGTTTATTTTCTCTCTCTCTCTCTCTCTCGCAGATGAATCTTCTTTTCTCGGTTCAGTATATTTATATAAGTGATGTAAGGATTATAAGAAATAATCTATATATTCAGTGATTCTTTTCCCGTGGATAAGTTGAAGCTCCTTTGCTCCTCTTCTCGTTGTGTTTGCGTTTTTCCGTGGACAGCTGTGCAGAAAGTATCTGAGGTATTTAAAAGTGCACAATGATTGCGAATGTCTACTGTAAATTCCACTTAATCTGTTCTTTTTGGTTTGTTTTTAAAAATATAAAAGATAACTCAGACTCCTGCTTGCTTACTTACTGTCTTAATTCATGTTTCTCATTTATAAAACGCACATACGATCAGATTTGACCCTAAATTCCATGAATTTCATCCTGTGTCAAAAGTGATGAAAAAAATCTGAATTATAAAGCTAAAAGCTGAAAATGTTGTGTCCACCCGTTAAAGAGCATGTGTACAAACTTTTGCACTCGTATATATACCAGTATCTAAAATATTCCAACGTTCTGTATTAAAATGTAAAGAGAAATGTGTCATGTATGGACAAATGTAACAATTTATGGAGTGTTTAGTGGTGAGTTAATGTAGTGATGGTGCTCTGCTGTCATTAAGTTGCAACATTGAGTGTTGCTATAGAAACTGGATTGTTTCTAAAGATTGTAACAGTTTCAGTGACTCCATTATGACATAAATGAGATCTATATTGAGACAGCAGGTGATCACAGCCGTGCTCAAATTCAGAACAACAGCACGGATGGAAGCATGATGCTGATTTTACACGAGAAGTTGCTATGGAGTAACGTACAGTGTGTGACTGTAATCTGAATCACTGAACACCGAGAGAAAGAGTCCCAATCAGACTGAAGAACCGTAACTAACAGATGATTTATAAAAGTGCACGGCTGTGAAGTATTTCTGGATCTGAGCGTCACGTCGACACAAGCTTTCAGTTAATGAAGCTTCAAAGAGTCAGCTGAACACAACAAATGAAGCAGAAAAACAAGCACACTAGTCAAACCTCGATGTGTTTTGTTTTTACCTCTTCTTGAAATAACCTTCGCTGAGAGCTCGGCTTTCTGAAATACTTGGTCACTGGAGAAAGAAACGAGATTAGTCTTTTTAATGTTTGTGAAAAAAGTCTCTTCTGCTCAGCAGAGCTGCATTCATTGGATCAAAAATACAGTAAAAATTGTGAAATATTATTACAATTTAAAACAGCTGTTTTCTATGTGAATATCTGTTAAACTGTAATTTATTTCTGTATTTTCAGCATCATTCCTCCAGTCTTCAGTGTCACATGATCTTCAGAAATCATTCTAATATGCTGATTTGCTGCTCAAGAAACATTTCGGATTATTATCAATGTATCAAACTGATACATTTTATTTTTCAGGATTCGCAGATGAATAGAAAGTTCAAAAGAACAGCGTTTATTTGAAATAGAAATCTAACGTTATAAATGTCTTTACTGTCACTTTTGATCAATTGAATGCGTCCTTGATGAATAAAACGATTAATTTCTGTAAAAAAAAAACAAACATGCCACATATATCACACATATGGAATAATTAACAGAACATTTAAGCACATTATGCATTAGTTGCTTGTACTTTTACCATGGTGTTACAGTAGCACAGTACTGCCATGATGCACATCCAGAAACTAACAAACATGGCTTTGCCACAGTAGTTCTGTGACTCAAGGATGATGATGATGATGATGATGATGAAGATGAATGTGGGTTTCAGTCAGCAGTACAAGCATCTCTGAGAGTTCAGACTTGGACTGAATCCACCAGCTGTCGTGTGTGTTTGGCTCCGGAGGGTCATCTGAACTATCACCAGCATTACCCCACAGCTGCTGGAGAAGAGCCGAGTCCCAGAGTCCTGCTGTGAGAAGGTAAGAGATCATCGCTGCTTCAGCTTCATTCAGATGAACTCTGAGCCGCCTCTAGAAAGAGCTCCAGGTGGAAATGTCTCGCCTCGCTGGAGTCTGGTTTATTTAGTCTTCATGAACTGAGAACTGAGTGTGATGGGCTGAAATGTTTGAAAAGATGTCTGAATGAATCTGGACAGAGATGGATATTGATCCATCAAAAAAAAACAATTTCTAGCACTTTCCACAAATAGGCTACAAGTGTAGTTGTTGTTCATTAATGTTTAGTCTATTGAAGTTTAATGAAGGCAATATTTTCCTTAATTTGTAGGAATATAAGTGACCCTGCAGCACAAAAGCAGTGTTAAGTCGCTGGGGTATATTTGTAGCAATAGCCAACAATACATTGTATGGGTCAAAATTATACATTTCTCTTTTATGCCAAAAATCATTAGGATATTAAGTAAAGATCATGTTCCATGAAGATATTTTGTAAATGTCCTACCGTAAATATATCAAAACTTAATGTTTGATTAGTAATATGCATCGCTAAGAACTTAATTTGGACAACTTTAAAGATGATTTTCTCAATATTTAGATTTTTTTGCACCCTCAGATTCCAGATTTTCAAATAGTTGTATCTCAGCCAAATATTGTCCTATCCTAACAAACCATACATCAATGGAAAGATTATTTATTCAGCTTTCATATGATGTATACATCTCAACTTCAAAAAATTGACCCCTTGGTTTTGTGCTCCAGGGTCACAAATGTTAAACACAAAACTGCGTCCAAACTGAATCACAAAGACTTTGATTCATAGTTTTTATTCCATGAAAAAAAAATGTGATGCATTAATGTGCTGATTTGATGTGTATTGCAAAGAAATATTAAAATCGCACAACTGAGGGTTTGAACTTTATCCAGATTCTTCCAAATTTGACTGAACTGTTTGAATAATATTCACTTTGACGACCTGTGAAGGACAAACAGCACTTTCTGAAGGTCGAGCACTTTTGCAAAAGAACAGAAATGAATCTGATGATTTTTGTTCTTGTGATGAAGAGCCTCCCGATGATGAATTATGCTGAGTGGACTCATTAACATGCCCTACTTTTAGAATTGTTAAGTCGGATTAATTCGTTATTTTTTATTTCTTTTGTAACTCATAATAAAAAAAAAAGTTTTTTTTTTCCTTTTTCCAAAAATGTTTTAGGAGTTACATATCTCATTTGTGTCTTTATTTATTTATTTTAAATTTTTTTTTTTTTTTTTGTAAAAACAGAAATGTTTTGTTGTTTTAAATGTCTTGACCAGTGGCGTGTGTTTGTGGTTTGTTCTCTTTAGTTCCCTCTGCTGGTTGATCAGAGATCTGCAGGCGTCCGCTGTGAGGATGAGGATGATGATGAGCCAGTATGTGACTCTCCTCTTCCTCACTCTCTCCTCTTTCACTGAAATATAGGGTTGTGTTCTCCAGTCTTGGAGAAAAAAAAAATAATGGAAATGTGTCTAGTGAGGCAAAAATCCAGCTCAAGTCCCTGAGCTGATAATGTCACTGCCTGATCTTCCACTGAGACACAAAGTTGTTTCCATGAGCATCCGTGTCTGTGTGGGGAAATAAGCATGAGCGCTCCAAAATATTTAGGCCTAAAATGTATTTGAATTGCATATAAAATTCCCATGCATTTGGATTGCACAGCTTTAAAATAAACTTGATGTGTGTCTGTCAGTCGTACATCAATGAAACGGTAATAAACTGAATGTGTTTTAAATACACAATAACCAGCTTTATATAAGTCTTCCTCATACATTTTAACTAATTGAATATTACATGTTCCACAGCTAGAACGTTCTCAAAGTTATAAACAAACGTTCTTACAGTAACGTTAATAGAACATTCATTCAAAGTTATCTGGTTACAAAAATGCTATACATCACTCGTGGGCCGTTTTTCTTTTAAAACATAATTTTTTTTTTATATTGCTTTTTCCCCCCAGAAAATATTCAAAAGTAACACTTATAATGTAATTTAAATAATAATTAATAATAATTTATGCATTTAGCAGACGCTTTTATCCAAAGCGACTTACAGTGCATTCAGGCTATACATTTTTTACCAGCATGTTAAATATAATATATAATGTTTGCATAATGATAAAAATGGAATGTGCCCTTAACGTTTATATAACCAAGAAAAAATGTTTTTAAAACTTTTTTAAAAACTGGGCATTTTGAATGTTCAGAGAACGTTCAGAAATAAAGTTGGTAACACTTTACTTAAAGTCTTTATGTATTTTTATAATGTTGTAATGCATTACATCTTTTCATAAATAAATGTAACCAAAGTTAAAATGCATTGTGAAATCTGAAGGTTTGTTTGTGGTGTATTTTAATGCATTATACTTTCTAAAGGTGTGACAGTGTATTATAATGCCTTATAACTGTGGTTACAATTATTCATGAGATCGTACAGTGCATTACATAAACATAAACTACGTTTATTATGCATTATATATAAAGACGTTAAGTAAAGTGTCACCATAAAATTTTTTAAATTAATTTTTACAACCTACATTTTGTTAGCTAGCTAGCCATGTTTTAAAATGTTTATACTTCTTAGTTGAATAAATGTAGTTGTTTTCACAAGGAACAGATGTATGCTGATCCTACACCATTTGAATACATGCATTTTGAAAAATATGATTATTTAAATAAAATAAATGCAATTAGTTAATAATAAACTAAGGCATGATTTTTTTTTTCTGAGTGCAGAAATCTGATCATTTATGTATGACTGACAAATATGAAAAAAAATCCAGATTATTATTATTATATAAAATATATTACAAATATACATAATAATAATAATACACACATATATAAAAAAATATACAGTGAATATTGAGTGCAAAAATAAAACAAATACCCGTTTCATTTATTTTTCACTGACAAATATGCATCATATAGTATTAGTTTGTTAAAACTGTAATCCAAATACATGGAAATTTTATATGCTATTCATATATATATACATTTTAAATGTAGGTCTAAATGTTTTTCTGAGTGAGAAGAGGTGCCTGGTGTTTATGCAGACCAGACCTGTTTATGATCAGTAATATTCATCAGCGTTATCGGAGTGTAGTTTTTGCATGAATTCACGTTGCTCATTCTTGTTAAAATTGCACTTGTTTAAAATGTCTTTGTGAGCGAGTGAGTGAGTGAGTGAGTGTGTGTGAGTGAGTGTGTTTGTGTGTGTTCTGTCCTGTCCTCCTTTAGGTGTATTTCATCCATGATGAAGAGGAGGAGGAGGAGGAACAGCCAGCTCCGGAGCCGCTCCGACCCGTAAACGACAGGCCGCACAAGTTTAAAGACCATTACTGCAAGAAGCTCAAGTTCTGTGACGTGTGCGCACGGATGATCGTGTGTGAGTTCAGAGGTCAAACGATGCCACACACGCTTCAGTCTCTCGCCGATAAATCTGGCTTTTGTCTTTCTGTGTCTACTAGTCAATAATAAATTTGCTCTGAGATGCACAAACTGCAAGACCAACATCCATCACCAGTGTCAGAGCTCCGTGGAGTTTCAGAGGTGCTTCTGCAAGATTGTTAGTGATTCCTGATGTTCCTCTGTGTTAGTTTGCACTTTAAGAACGACTGTTAATTAATGCATTTGTGGCTTACACTTCAAATCTGTCAATGCAACAAGACAATGTGCACTTAGTGAAGCCGTAGCTTGTGTAGTTTTACTTCTCAGGTAAGTTGAACTTGTTTTAGTTGTATTTATTTCACATATTCCAGCCTCCAGGTTTCAGACGTGTGTAGAGTTCTCCGCTCTACAGCAGTCAGCAGAACTCTGCTGCTTCCGTTCTGTGAGTCTCAGGCACGTGACTTCATTACAGGCCTCGTTATTTAAAGCAGAACTCCCAAACTTTACTGCTGCATCTGCAGAAAGACTCTCAGACACTCTTTCCTGAGGATTCGCTCACTGACGAGGAGAATATCAACTCCGTTCGTTATTTTCACCTTCTCAGTTCATCACAATGAAATTCAGATCAACTTTACACGTATTAACTAAATCTTACGTCATCTTTTCTGTGGATTTCTGCTGTTAATCGTGATTCAGTGTTTTTACTCAGAATATTCACGGGTACAGAAGTTTCTTTTAAGTTAGCCGATGTCCAAACTAAATTAATTATTTCTGCTGCATAAATAATAATAATA